TGATAAAATTCAGCAGTGAATCCATCTGGACCAGGAGTTTTGTTCTTGGGTTGTTTTTTGATTACCAATTCAATTTCGTTGCTGGTAATTGGTCTAGAGTTATATTTTATAATAACTTCATCTTAGAATGCTTATCTAGAAGTTACCGTATTTAAAATAAACAGATTAGTGATTATGACGGACAATGTCTATTCTGACAATTTTCCTGACCAAAATGACTACTACCTTTCTCTTCTGCAGGGCTGTGCATCAGAACCACAGGGGTAGTTTTTCAAAATCCATATGCTGAGGCCTCCCAAATGAAGATATCTACTTTTAAGAGGTTATGTACCTCTAATTTGCATATATGCATCAGAAAGTTAAATGTCAAGCCTGCTTTTTTGGTAGCTAAGTTCGTATTTTTAAATTACCCCAAATGTCTAACTAATCTAACTTTTGAAAGAGAAAATGGAATATAAAAGCATCTCCTCTGCATCAACATTAGAAAAGGAAAAATCTCTCTTAACACAAAGTTATCATTCTCTTACAGTAAATTACTTCAATTTCAACATTTCCCCAAAGGTGGCCTTCAGTTTAAACTAAAAAAATTCCATCCTTATACCCCTATTGCCCTAGAGCAGCACATGCCGGCTAGGTGACTAGCTGAAAGAACGTTTTTCATGGCCACTAAGACCTTTTATTGAATGACTTGGTTTTTATACATCCTTACCTATTAGCCCTATGCTCTAAGCAAAAGAACTAACTCCAAGGAAATTGAGGCAGTATGTTAGCTACAAATTGAATGTAGGGGTTAAGTAAGATATAATCAGTCTAATAAATAGTACAGTATGTAATATGAAGTTAGTATTTCAAACCTGGCAAAGCACAAAAAAATATTAAAGTTATTAGATCATCTACACTGAACCCGATTTAAAAGTTGTATCATCTAAATGGGAACACTCCTACACTGTTGGTAGGAATGTAAACTGGTGCAACCTGTGTGGAAAGCAGTAAGGAGGTTCCTCAAAAAATCAAAAAACAGAAATGCCATTCAGTTCAGTAATTCCACTCCCAGGAATTTACCCAAAGAAAACCAAATCCCTGATTCAAAAAGATATATGCAACTGTATGTTTATCACCACACTATTTGCAATAGCCAAGATATGGAAGCAACCTAAGTATCCATCAAGAGATGAAGGGATAAAGAAGATATGGTACATTACATAATTGAACATTATTCAGCCATAAAACATTTGCATAAAATGAAATTTATTCAGCCATAAAACCCATTCAGCCATAAAAGCCATAAAAACCATAAAACAACATGGATGGATCTAGAGGATATTATGCTCAGTAAAATAAGCCAGGCGAAGAAAGACAAATACCATATGATTTCACTTACTTGTGGAGTATAAAAACAAAACAGGAGGAACAAAACAGGGAAATGAGTAGTGGTTACCAAGGTGGAAAGGCTAGGACAAGTGGGAGGGAGGGGGCGGGGATTAAAGGGGCATGATAATTCACAATCACAATATAAGCTGGTCATGGGGATGGCAGTACAGCATGGAGAATACACTCAGTGATTCTGTAACATCTTTCTACATTATAGTAACTGCACTAGAAGGGGTGAGGATTTAGTAAAATGGATAACTGCAGAACCACTGTGTTGTACATTTGAAACTAATGTAAGATTGTATATCAATGATACTTCATTTAAAAAAAAAGTTATATCATCTAAACTACACCTTCCTGAAAAATAAAAGGATAAGTAAAACTGTACTATATATAAGAGAAATCACCAATAATACATATTTTGGTCTGTCATATTTTAGGAAATCTCTAGATCAGCACTGTCCAAAAGAACATTCTATGATGACTTTAGTATTCTTACACTGTCATACAACAGCCACTAAGCTACATTCATGTGACTAGTGCAACTGAAGAACTGAATTTTTAATTTTTAATTATTTGAATTTAAATTCCCACTTGTGGCTAGCAGCTACCACACTGTACATCACAGCTCTAGAGTTTTGAATTTTTCCTTTTCTAAAGCTTTACCATTTTACATATTCTGCTACAAAATGGACTTCAAAGTCAATGGTCAAAACTGCCAATTTAAATAATGATTTGAGAATATCTTATTGCTCTGAAGGATACCTTTCAGAGGTATATCATAAACAGGAGACTGGTACTTACTGGTCTGATATCAATGTCGCACATTCCAACACTTGTAGTGACAACGTGACTGACTCCCAGCATTGTATTTCCTGATAATCCCTAGAACAAAATAAAAACAAGTAGCCACACAGAAGAATGTCAAACAATAAACCACACCACTAAAACTTTAGTCAAGTCTTATTTAGGTTTTTTAATTACACTTTGTCTTTATACAGGAAAAGCCAGGCTAATTATGAAATAAGCTTTCATACCTTTACATTGGAAGGGTCAAATAATCCTTCAGGAATCTTTAACCGTTCTGCTCCAAAGTCACAGTTGTAGCCATTGGGGAATTCATAATGAACAGTGGGCATCTGTGCAGCTACTCTGAAAACATTAAACAACATTAAACAAAAGACCCAATCCTCTTCAAAATGATAAGCTACTAAAGAACCATCAACTTGTAAGAAAGGATATGGAGGATATGTTATTTTCTTTTAAAATGCTATTATTATTTTTTTCAAGTCAGATGGCTAGTGTGCTGACATTGTAACAAGGCTTTACAGAGGCACATGTCATGCAAAAGCATGGAAACCCAATCATCACGCTTATGAATTACAAAAGTATCAACAGTATTTCTCTAATATGACTTTTCACCTTTAGACCAGGTAAACATATTCTATGACCCTTTTTTCAACTAAACAAATCAATATCTCTCATTTATGAAGTATATAATTTTTAAAAAACGAGTATGGAGTTTTAATGACCTATTAAATTATAAGTCTTGTAGACAAAATAAAACATACTGTTCATCATAAGTTGAATCTGATACTTGAAGTACTGAAGCTTGAAAATCCTGGATAACACACTATGGACAAAAAAAAAAGTTTTAAGAAATAGGTTACTGAAATCTGTCTTTGCAATCTATACTTTTATAACATTATATTTAAAATACTTTTCTTAATGAAACTGGACCACATTCCTGGACAGCTAAGTCACTTTAATGATATAAATCTACAAAGCAAGGACTCTGAGTAAGAAGAAACCCAATTTTAAACATTTGCATTAGAAACTGAGGTATAAAACATTTAAATTACAACAGTTCTGGAACAATGATGAGAAAGAAACAGTTGAGAACCTTTGTACTACCAACCTGCATAAAATACTAGTTTCAGAACACTGTTTTTCCTTGAAAATAAGCTTAGAAGCAAGACTTCAATGGAAGGTGGAGGAGGAAAGTAGGGACTAGCAAAAAACAAACCAAAGTGAACCCCAAGCCAAAAAACAAACAAACAATCCGGGCTCTTTCCCCCCTTCCCCTGTCCCGCCACCCCCATTCCCATATACAGCCCACATTTTAATGGTCAAAACTCATGCATAGTGTCTGCCACCCAGCCCCTCTTACAGGCTCCTCACCAATGACTACTTAGCTTCCCTTCCCCCTATTCTGTCAGGACTCTTGTGTTGCTTTTAAAAGCAACATGTCAATTTAACATGTTAATTTCCCAATGCCCTGCACTTAACAAATGGACACGTGCAAGGGATGGTGTATTTGGCACGTTGCTGCTGGCATTCTCCAAGGCTCATCTTCTAACCAGTCAGATATGAAGCTGAGTCAAAAACAAATTA